ATGGAGTATTTAGCTATGTAGGTAGTCGCATGGCAGGTGGCGTGCGTGCTTCATTCTAATCAACACTCAAAGCTGCTTACAAAAGTCGTGTTATGTAAGTAAGAACTATAAGCAATACTCACAGTTACTTCTATGACTCATGTCCTGTAGGTAAGGACTATGTGCCTGCTGGAGCGGACCTTTGTTTCATGGGTGTTGGTCTTGGCACCAATGAGTCGTCAGTCCGGTACTTGATGAAGAAGGAGGTATGTATCGGCCGCGAGTCGGAAAATCAAAAAGAGAAATATGTGTATACTGGTGTATATATAATCACATGTATGTATGTATGCATATATATATATATATTTATTCTTGTAGATATGAATACACTGTGTGTGTTGCGGTGGTACGGGATATCTTCGACCGTTACCCTGAGCGCGAGTATATAGTTCAATTTATACCTCACACGCCTCATTCTATAAAAAAATATGTTTGTAGGTATTCGGCACTGCACGTGTGGCGGTGGTGCGTGATATCTTCGACCGTTCGCCTGAGCGTGGCTACTTGGACCAGGTCATGAAGATTGTGGATGCCAAAAGTGTGCTGATTCTGGACTCTATCATTGGAGAGAACAATCTCAACCGGCGACTGGTCAATGAATACGTGTACTGCAACAGCCGCAACAGGTATATATATGGTGACGAAGCCAGAGCAGACGACCTGTGAATTCATTTGTGTGCTGTAGCAGCTGAGAAGGGTGTAGTGAGGGTCTCTGTGTAGGTGTATGACAAGACCGGTGCACACTTGTCCACGTTACGTGGAAAGATATCTGCACGTACATGAGCTCTTAACATGAGCAGCGAGTTGTTGGCGTATTCGTCATAGATATAGACTATATATGTATTTATTGTATCATTTACAAAGGTGTGCTTGGGCAGATGTTCATATTAGTATCACTCACAGAGGTTACGTACTCCCACATACACATACACAGCATCACACCAATATAGATACCTTGATTCTCATTCACACATACTCACACATACACATACACAACATCACGCCAATACAGATACGTCCTCTCGCGCATGAACATGGAGCTATCCGCGTACATCCGTGATGTGGGCATGAACGTCGTGCGCTTGCCCGAGTCCATCTACAACACACATGGCCTGGGTGTATTTAACTTTGGAGAGGGCCAACTATTGGTCAATAACGCAGAGATCGCCGACATCCTCGAGGGTAGTGCACACTTCAGTGGGACGGTGAAGTGTGTGACGTTTGACTTTGAGAGCGAGCTCAAGAGTGACTGGATCTTTAACACGACGCTGGTGTTCAGGCAGAAGCCTGCGGTGGATGGTATGGTTGAACGGTTTCCAAAAACAGAAAGATGCATATACGCGTACACATATACGTACATGCACATATACATATATGTGTATATATACACATACATACAGACATACATATTTACATACATATATATATATATATATATACTGATGTGTGCATATCAGAAGTCACTGGCAATTTCTATAACCACCTCAGCTATAGATGCATGTGTAGTTAGAGAGCACATGTTGATTTATGCGTACTTGATGTATTTGAGCTTTGGTGTTTTACTGATGTGTGTCTATGGACTCTCTAGCAACGTCTATGGTGAGTGCACACGCCGCTATACAAAGTGTGCATTACAACACACATACCACCGTGCGTTATTTTTATCAGGAACTCCCATGTAATGCAACTGGTTGCTCAACACAGACCTAGTATGAGTGTGATGCACCTTGTATCTCAATCTAGGGCCTATGCACCAAACCGGTCTATAAAGTGGATGGAAAGGGCACCCGTTTGAATACTCTGATCCGATTTAACATATCTCCTACTCGATAGGCATGCCAACGATTGACTTGAAGCCGTTCAACCCACCTACGGACAGAGTGCAGCGCGCATGGGGCACCTCAAACGATACTCAGATCCACCAGACAACCAACACGGTGGGTGGGAATAAATCCTCTATTGCAGAGATATATATGTGCATATATATATATATACATGTGTGTGTGTGTGTGTGATGAACACTTTATGTATACGAGCTACATCTTATGCACAAATTGACCTCAGTTTCTATATGTATATATATACTTCTTGAGCTACATATATCCCCATTATCGACGTGTTCACGCAAGTATATCTCTATATACACACCTTAATCCCAGGTATATATCTCTATACACACACCCTAACCCCAAGCATACATCCCTATCCATACATCAGGTGATGATGGTGGCTCCCGTTGGATTCTGCACCAACGAGGAAACGGCAGCCGATAATTACTTTATGCACAAACACGGCATGTCAGCAGATGAGGTGGAGCGGAAGGCCCTTGCAGAGTTCTCTGAGTTCCATCGCAAACTCACCACGCTGGGCGTGACGGTATGTTGTGTGTGTTCGTATGTACATGTGATACATTTGCGATAGACGTAGTGTGTGTGTTCGTATGTACATGCAATGCATATACACATTTGAGATGGATGTAGTGTGGGTATTCGTATGTACATATAGTGTATATGTAAGGCTTGCTATATAGTGGAGTGTGATATAGATTGTGATGATCTACATGACATGGTCTAAGAGAGGGTTGAGCGCAACTGACGACTCTGGGCGTTACGAATAGCTACATATATATGTGTATATTCTACATGTGTGTGTATGTACATGTTTATAAGCTACATATTTATGTATATCAATGTCATACATATACTATATACACATAAACTATTTATTTATGTACTATATATATATATATACATAAATATCATGTTAATTAGCGCAGCATATCTTCAACCCCCTAAACCCTAAAGAGGTCTAACGATTGGATGGTGCACGTCAACTATCTCAAGACCTATGTCGTTGTTCAAATCCCTTCATGGTTATATAACAATAAGTGTTATTGTTAGTTAAAGATATGAGTCATCAACTTCGCACGATTTATTCATAGACGATACAAGTCAATTTCTCATAGACACGTATATATATATATATATATATATCACATTTATATATATATATATGTGTGTGTGTGTGTTTAAGACGTGTTCGTTTACGATACATGTCACCTTCTCACGACTTAACCATTGTTTATCCCCCATCATTGGTCTGCACAGGTGCTATTGTTTGTCAACGAGCGTTGGTACAAGTCGCCTGATTCGGTCTTCCCCAATAATTGGTTTAGTACACATTCCGCCACAGAGTTTGACGAGAAGAAGTCGACTGTGGTATGTGACGGATATGTCTGCTATTGTCGGATATGTGTGCTTTTGTCGTATTTGTGTTCTTTTGGTCGGATTTTATAAAATAGCCTTAGAACGATAGTGGATATAAATACACGACATTCTGTCGTGTTTCATGCACATGGAGCTCATCAGTAAAGGAGTAACGCACGAGTAGTTTGTATCTGATCGAATGTGTGACTATGCCGGTTAGCTCAGTCTACGATGTAAGTGGGTGAATACATCAATGATATATATATATATATGTGTGTGTAATTTTAAATTTAATACAAATGTATGTATACGTATGTATATATATATATATATACATCTATATTTACTTTCATCCACAGCCAAGCACTCATTGCAAATACATGCATACACCAAGATAGATACCCTGCTGTGCAGAGTATGTTTAATGAACGTGTTCTACTTTATACTCACGGTAATATATTGGCCCTGTCCATTAGAAAGCCTAACGAACACCAAAATATCCACCATCTTATTTGAGAACATTGCCTCAAGATCCTAAACCCAATTCCGCGCCCTACTTTTCCATTGCAAAATCCCGTTTTCTTCCTGTTCATAGGTGTTCTATCCCATGAAAACGGAGTCGCGCCGAAAAGAGCGCCGCGAATATATCATCAGTGATATGCAGGAAGTATACGATCGGGAAATGAGCTTCACCCAATGGGAGTACTCCGATTTCCCCAGTTTCCTGGAATCTACAGGTGTGTGTGTGTGTGAATACCTATTGAAATGTATATGTATGTGTATTGTACTGTTTTGCATATACTACAGGTGTATGAGAGTGTGCTCGAGAATGCTTCTAGATATGTAAATAGAAGTGTCATTGTATTGTGCTGTTTTTTATATACGACAGATGTGTTGTGTGTGTGCATGTGTATGCGAGAAAGAGAGATACCTGTAGAAAGGTATATGAATGTGTAACTGTATTACACTGTTTCGCATATATCACAGGTTGTTGCTGTTGTGTGTGTGTGCCTTACTTCTTATTCAGGTGTTGAAGGGTATGTAAGTACATACTGCTGTGTCACAGATGCAACGATAGCAATGCACAGACCTGCGCCGAGTGGTTGAGTGGCTGTTTGTGCTTAAGATTAACGTTTATATATATCGTGTTCATCCTAGATCATTCGCACTTAAACTTAAAGTCCATCTGTAGATGTAATCTTTGCCGTTTGTGCTCAAGATATACGTAACTATTCACATATCGTACTATTCTATGTATATCTTTTTCTATTTATAGGTGTGATCTCACATTTCGTACTATTCTATGTATATCTTGTTCTATTTATAGACGTGATCTCACACTTCGTACTGTTCTATTAATATACCATTCTATTTATAGGTGAACTCACATTTCGTACTATTCTTTGTATACCTTATTCTATTTATATATGTGATCTCACACTTCGTACTATTCTATTTATATCTCATTCTATTTGTAGGTATCATCTCACGCTCGTACTGTTCTATTCACAGGTGTGATCGTTGCCGATCGCAAGCGCCGTATCGCCTACATCGCCCTATCCCAGAGAGCCAACCGCCGCATTGCTGAGACTTGGGCCAAACGCCTGGGCTACACTCTGTGCCTCTTCCATGCTACAGACGCGGAGATGCGCCCCATTTATCACACCAACGTGCTCATGGCAGTTGGCAGCTCGTGTGCGGTGGTGTGCCTGGAGAGTATTGAGGATAAGGTGTGTGTGAGGAGAAAGCTGTTGTGGTGTTTCGTGTGAGATTGTGTGTGTGTGTGTAATAAAGGTAAGGTGTGTGTGAGAAGAAAGCTGTTGTGGTGTGTCGTGTGAGATTGTGTGTGTGTGTGTGTATTAGAGGAATGGTGTGTCTAAGAAGAAGCTGTTGTGGTTTGTCATGTGAGGTCGTGTGTGTATTAAAGGTAAAGTGTGTATATCAATACCTGATAATTGTCCATTACTATTCCAGGCTGTCGTGTTGGTTATAGGTATCTGCTAGTTCCTCAATACCTTATAATTGTCTACTACCATTTCCTCAATACCTTATAATTGTCCACTCCCATTCCCTCAATACCTTATAATTGTCCACTCCCATTCCCTCAATACCTGATAATTGTCCATTACCATTCCAGGCTGAGCGAGAGAACCTGGTTAAGACGTTAGAGCAGAGCCACAAGATCATCGCCATCACTCGCGCACAGATGAATGAGTTGTGTGGCAATGTGTTGGAGGTGCACGGGGAGCCCTACAGCAAACGTATCATGGTCATGTCCACACGGGCCTACAATGTATGCCTTGTGTATTACGTGTATGCTTTGTATATTATGTGTATGGATAGTATATTGCGTGTATGTATAGCATATTGCGTGTATGTATAGTATATTACGTGTATGTATAGTATATTACGTGTATGTATAGCATATTGCGTGTATGTATAGTATAATACGTGTATGTACAGTATATTACGTGTATGTATAGTATATTACGTGTATGTCTAGTATATTACGTGTATGTATAGTATAGTACGTGTATGTATAGTATATTACGTGTATGTATAGTATATTACGTGTACGTTTAATATATTGTGTATAACATATTACGTGTACGTCTAGTATAGGAGGTGTATAGTATATTATGTGTACGCCTAGTGTAATAAGTGTATGTCTAGTACATTAATTAAATGTATAATGTATTACGAATCTGTCTAGTACATTAATATAGTATATTACGTGTATGTCTAGCATATTACGTGTATGTATAGTATATTACGTTTATATCTAGTATAGTTGAGATTATGTATGGTATATTATGTGTGCGTCTAGTACATCGCCTTTGTATAGTATATTACGGTAGGGTATGTATATCACCTGTCTGTATAGTGTACATGAGTCGGGGCGTACTTATTTGTTGTGTGCGTAAGTGAAAGACCTCTGCTGCAATTATATGGGCCTGTTGTGTACGTTTAGTCTGGGGTGTTAAATGATGCGTAGCTGCTATGTACGAGATAGCGTACGTTATCATAGGCGTGTACACGTGTGTGATGTTCTACCTTTAATTCTGTGCGCAGAGGTGTGTGAGTGTGATAGAGGTACAAGCCATTTGCTATATATATGTAATAGCGTACTTTAACTTAACTCTGTACACATGTGTGATGCTCTGCTTTTAGTTGCGTACACAGGGGTGTGTGTGCGTATGATAGAGATACAGGGTGTGCGTATGATAGAGATACAGGGTGTGCCTCTGTACCGTATCCGTTGTCCTAACACCACGTGCACACCGAGACAGTCAACCTAAAGCACACACGAGACCACCCTTTGCAACCCATGCCGCTACACCTGTCTGCAAACTCTCTTTCTCTACATTACCTGTTGTGCATGAATGGATCAACTGATCATAAGTGAATATGACATAATCACACACCCTCATCAACTGATCATCAGTGAATATAACATAATCACATACCCTCATCAACTGATCATCAGTGAATATAACATATAATCACATACCTTCATCAACTGACTATGTATGGATTGAAGCATATGCACCGTGTATCCAATATGCGTGCATGTACATGAACTCACCGGTCGCCTCTGCTCAACTACCTCAGGCCTTTACGGACGAACAGAAGGGGCTGATGCTCGATTATGTGGACAACATCCTACACACCTCCATTGACACCATCGAGAACATCGGTGGTGGTGGGGTGCGTTGTATGATGGGCGAGATATTCTAGGTACATCATCTGCAAAGGCGGCTGTGTACATGCATGCACGCACACACGTTCGATGTGTTGTGTGTGCTTGTGTACGTACACGCTCACAGGCGTACGTACTTGCATACACAGCCGGCCACGGTGTGTGTTTAGTTCTATAACTGTTAACGGGTCCGTCTGGGGCCTATCGCGATACCGTTTGGGAATGGAGGGAGACGTTAAATGATGCGAGCGAATTTTGGTACAGCTTATACACATATGCCTACGCGCGCGCACACACATACATACATACACAAGCAACGCACAAACTTCAAGGTAAATGGCACACAGAAACATGAAGAACTGGCTTATCCTTGCACATAAAAAAACACGACACTACACATTAACATGAAGGACTCGCTTATCCTTGCACAAACAACACGAGGCCACACAGAAACCAACTACACACAGACAGAGACTGATGCCATCGACACATACGCCCAGGGTGAGCATGTAGTGCGTGGCCATGGTGACGCATCTCGCATGCGTTGTTAAGCACGAGCATGTGTCTACAATGCCGTACACGTGAACGCATGTACACCAACAGGGCACACCCACCAGCTGCAGAAGAGGATTGCTCTCCGACATCCACACGCACACCCGTTATCACCATCCATACGTTATGGGCTTATGGGTATACGCTCTCGGCTACCACATAGCAACTCGTGCGGAAACGCGCACGTACTGTCCCCCGACTATTCTTTTATTTGAAGGGTCGTTGGGCGTTGGGTTTAGATCCATGGTTGTTCCTTGGTGACCATCCGTGCGGCCAAGATATGCCAATACAGTCATGCGGCGACCGACAAGGACTTCGGCGAGCCCGCAAATAACTCGAACCTCGACTCGTTAACGGTTCATATAGGTGCACCGATGTCAGTTGTTATGCTTGCAGACTATACTGTAAGATATACGTACGCGTAGGTAGGTATATAATGTGGTTTGCTCGTCGTATATTCAGTTGTACTTCAAAATTGCTTGACGCGTGACGTCACCGAGCACGGTCAGGGGACAGTTCTTTGACATGACGCGTGACACCTGACATTTTACTCTGGTTGTTAGTTAGCCTACTGAGGACGCTCGATGAAAGGTGCACCATGCACCTGGATTTCTGGTGCAGGACTGCTTAGGGTTCGGAGTTGCGTTGATGAGGTAGGATTTTGTGGGGAAAGTAAGTGGTTTAGATTCCGGAACTGATGAATATTGGGTGCTGTGCACACTCGAGCATGAGTGAGTATAGAAGGTGTACTGTACGCGCTGATATATGTACATGTGTTGAGCGATTGGCACCTGAGATTTGGGATTGACTCCGATCTCGCTGCGATGTAGCACAACATATAGAGGACATCGGAGAGACTAATATCGCATTGAATTATATGGTCTTCAGAGTTGGTAATTCTATAGTTGAATAAAATGTATTCGGCAATCAGAAAGGTCCAACTTCGGCAACTAATTATTGGGGTGTCACATCAGGTGCGTGCATGTATATTGTACATACATATGATATATATATATATATATATATATGTGTGTGTGTGTGTACACGTTATATATATATATATATATATATGATATGCAACCTTAGCCCATCGTGACGTCATGGGAAAAATCGACTACATCACCTGCCCTGCAACTATAAAGCATTTTAACAGTCACACTTTACATAGATTCAGACCATTTCTATCGCGTAGATATTTGAACGCTATATCGCAAGCCCACCTGCTATCTTCTGCAGATATCTTGATATTGTTCGATTTTCCATATTGCACTCTGGGCTATTCATTGACAGCTCGCCTGTATGTGTGCGCTGGAGACATGCTAATGGGGAACACGGTCGATCATTTCCTGGCAGTATTCGTAATCGCAATATTAGGGACGTCTCTGAGGTTCTCCTTGTAAGTAACCGTGGCATGTGAACAGCATGAAGGAAATAATCACCCGCGGCCTCAGTGTGCCAGGACCTAGGAAAACCCATCTTTGTTTATATACTACTTCTCTGGATTTATACCAGAATCATTATCTCCTGGATGATGTACTAGGAAACAATATTCTCTCCCCGGTGGATTTAAAAAATATTACCATCCCGTCTCCAGAAAGGTGGAAATTCCGTGGGATTTATGGTATCATTCTCCCTGTCTCCAGAAGTCCTGGCTTATGATCTGGTCGGACTGGTCCCTGTCTCCCTTATTCCATGGCCAATCTAACTAGTTTACCTATAAAGATCAGTAGGTACCACTCATATATACTCTATACACCTACACCCTATAAGGGGAAATATGATTTATACACCCTGCTACAGACTCCAGAGGGTCGTGCCAGAATTGTAGTACCCCGCTGACTACTGACCAGTCGGTCAGATAGAGGTATGTCGTCTTTAGTCGGATCATGGCCAACTGACTACTGTGTATGATATACAACCCTGAAAACGTCAACCCTCCCGTTTACGACCCTCTGGACGTCTGTCCCAGTTTCTGTGACACACTGATACAGCTCGCGTTCGAAAACGAGATTGTGTTTCGCATAAAAACTCTGTAAACTTACAAGTTCAATAGTTCCAGAGTCCAGACCCTAGACTCATTGGAGCCTTAGAGGGTTGCCAGAGTCCAAAGGTCATCAAAATCAACCAAAACAAAATGTCAATCACATATATAGCATAGCCTTCTAAAATTTCATTCAAATTGGTAGGCTGTGTGTGCTGTGTAAAACACTAAAACTGTAAATACTAAATACACATTGTTAGTTTGTTACTAGGTACATACAGTGAACATTTCTTCTGTGGAAAACATCTTAAATTTACTCCAATTGAGAGTAGATGAACCGAAGAAGAGACTATAGAGGTTGACCCAGAGCTACCTTAAAAAAATCAATCTCATTGGCACTCATATAGCACAACTTCTTCGTTGTGACGAATAATAAACGCAAGCTTAATCTCATCCCGATCGGACTATTAGTTCAAAAGTTATGAAGGATTTCAGTTTGTACCAGAACTGGGTCAAACTAGCCACAAGTAAGCGTTATACTAGTCCATACATACCTAGCAGACCTTTCTGGCATTATAGCATACTATTTTATTGGTCTATGGGAGGCTTTATGTGCGCAAATAGCGAGTCTAGACGTGTATTTCGAGTACCTCATATACTAACTTGTATCTTTTGTACCAGTGAGAATATGAGGAACCCAAAATACACGTCCAGACTCGCTATACGCGCACATATAGCCTCCCATCGACCAAACACTCTATTTTTTACACATGACGTTTTACGATTCTGAACAAAGATTCTACCTCCTCACGTAATACAGTCACCTCACCAGTGTCCACGAACCTCACTTAATAATACATATTCTCCTTGATGTGTAGTGTGAGCTATTCAAGCTTTGTCTCATTCGCCATTTGAACTAGAGCAATCCCTTATTGAAAAAGAGTCCTCAAAAGAGATATACCACAAAATAGACAGTTGTATTGGACCAATTAGCTACCGATAGTATTCAGTACCCTCGTAAATTCCTACACAAAGATTATGAGGCCCGACCAAAACAATTCATTGCAGTGTTTACTTTTAGATCTGAGTTTATTTGATCAGCGCACTGCGAGCTGTTTGGTCACTCTTACATGCAATTCAAAGTGGCTCATGATATTCACTTGCTCTCGAATTAAGAGGCATCTAATGTTTACATTTACAAAATCTTGACCATATTATTCTTCGCTAATCAGGCTCGTCGCTGTGTAATCTCAACAAACCTAGGATCCTTTTCAGTCGCTTCCAGTACCCCGGAAACCCGCAGCAGCACACAGACGCTCACGACAGTCTCCTCCAGGGCCTTGCCGACGAATTCTTAGTGGCTCATGATATTCACTTGCTCTCGAATTAAGAGGCATCTAATGTTTATATTTACAAAATTTTGACCATATTATTCT